TTCTTTGCCACTTCTCTATGAAATTTTTGTCAATGCACTTCTGTTTTTGCTCTAAAGATGGCTGCCCTTTACTTTCTGAAAGGATTATTAAACTGTGAGGCATTCATGTTTTTCAGTTTGGTCCTATCTATTTCTTACTTGCCACTTTCTTTGCCCTACAGATTTCTTTGACACGCTCTACATTTGAAATTATTTTCTCTCGGTAACCACTCTTCATCTGCCTGCTGCTGGAAATTTGAATTCAGCAGAAACATTTGTTTGAGAATATGCTCCTGAACAAAAACATAGTGGTGAAAGATTACTAAATATTAAGCAGCAGAATATCCTATTTTTCTTAGATGCAGAGTGCAGGCGTAGTCCAGCTATCATTCATGTATCTGAAGTAAAACATAGATTTATACATAGAAAAACTCCCCTTCAATCTAAGCTGTATCTTGAAGGAAAGGAAGAACAGGAGACAGGAAGAGACAAGAAATTTGTTTGTGTCCTAATGTCTCTGCTTTCAATGTCTCTTTGGATATTACATAGCATTGTGGCTATGGACTTTATAAAATGGACCCACACAACTTGTGTTGATCAAACCATCTCTGGTTAACAGCATGACCTATAACATCAGATCTCCAATGCTTGCTGTCTTTAAGTCTCTATTTTTGATTTTCGGATATGTTTTCTTTTAAAGAACAAAGAAAGGAACATTATGGTTTATCCTGCAATGATAATAGTGTACCCACACTGTCCCTTTAGGATTATTTTAAACTTGACCTTTTGCAAAGTTTGAAGGATTCCAAACTACGGTGACTGAAAATGAAATCTTATTGTAGGTTACTTATTTGTTTCTGCCACAGATGGTTTCATTTCATTTTCTTCTACAGTCTCGGGACTATCAAGATCTTTGAAGAGAATAATAAAATATAATAATATGAAGTCACTGTGATTGGTGGTGGTGGGGATTTGCTGAAAACAAAGCTGGGATGTGTTTATTTCTCTTATTTTGGAAGGATATAGATAGGACCATGACATGGTTTTGTTGCTAGTTTGCACTAGGATTATGGAGTTTTCACCGATAGTGTAGGCTTTGTTTGAAAAGAACAGTTATTGGTATTCATATGAATGCATGAAAAGCTGCAAATAACAATTGGGTAGGGAATTCATGCTGGTCCCGCCTCAGGGATTCTTTCCAAAGCTTCCATGCATACAGCCAGGAGGTCTGTATTAGTATTTGGCTGGAAGCAAGTTCAGCTCTCCGGATGATGCCGGGCTCTGCTTGATCAGCCATTTTTGCCAACCATGCTGAAATTTGGTAACAGTCAGTAAACCCACACACAATAGCTTGGCTTCAAAACAAACTTGTTTGATTATCTGATCCTGTTACATTTCACGGTAAGGTACAGACAAACTGCACTGTGTATTCATGTGTACCAATATAGGTATGTAGTTGGAGCCAGTAAATTATATTTTCCCAACTTGGTGCTCCCTTGATATGTTGGAACAATAAGCTCAAGAAGCATGATGTAGTCTGGCTTTGGCAATTATAGACCAAATATATCAGAAAGTGGGTCAAATTGGGGAAGAGCTCTTATTTGTATATTAAGGAAGGTTCCCCCCCCCGCTCCCCAGGAAAGAAGCCAAAATTTGCAAATTGAGACTATTGTAACCAGTGGTGAAATCCAATTTTTTTTACTATCGGTTCTGTGGGCATGGCTTGGTGAGCATGGTGTGGCTTGGTGGGCGTGGCAGGGGAAGGATACTGCAAAGTCTCCATTCCCACCCCACTCCAGGAGAAGGATACTGCAAAATCTCCATTCCCACCCACTCCAGGGGAAGGATACTGCAAAATCCCCATTCCCACCCACTCCTGAGGGAAGGATATTGCAAAATCTCCATTCCCATCCCACTCTGGGACCAGCCAGAGGTTGTGTTTGCCGGTTTTCCGAACTACTCAAAATTTCCGCTACTGGTTCTCCAGAACCTGTCAGAACCTGCTGGATTTCACCCCTGATTGTAACCCTAAATTTGCATTTAATCTCTACTAAATTGCAAATGGTAGATGTCATCTGGTAATCAGATATAGTTCTGATCCTTTTTAAATGCCCTGTTGATTCCCTCCCCCAAATAAACTTTCAATATAGCATCTGCTGAACCTGAAAACATCCTTGGTGCTCATCAGGTTCAATTACGATCTGGGGTTTTTTTGTTTTTTGTTTTAGTTTGCTAGCCTGCTGCACAATAAAACCCCAGCCTGTAGCATCATTTTTATTTGCAGCAGTACCTTTTGCTCTGATAAAGTCTGACTGGGATCGTAAAGGACATGCTAGGGGATTATTTTTTCTTGTGATAAATGGGACTTCTGCACCTTGGCAGTGGCCCCTGCAGGAGTCATTTCATGGTGAGATGGGCAGGCAACCAAATTTAATAAATAAATAAAAAAAATTGTGAATAGGCAAACCCATAAATGAACGGCCATGGCATTCATTTTGTGAGGGTCCCCACTGCACCCTGTCGAAATTCCAAAGGAGCCTCTAGTCGCCTCCCAAAGTTATCCATCCTTTTTTCTTTAAATGATGTTGTCTAGTTCTATCAGTGTTTATAGGAATCATTTTGTTTGGCCTCTAGTATCCTTTTGCAACAAACGAAGCAAAGCTGTTAAAAGTTTCAGTGCCCATGTGTATGGTATTTAAAACACTGCCATCAGTGACTGAATTATTGGAGCTAATGTATAATTAATTTTTAAATTAATAAATAATAAAATGAACAACTTGCTGGCTTTAGGGAAAATGTGACAGAACAATTAAGGAGTGACAAAAAGGCAATGAATTATTCATCCATTAACATAGAAAAAGAGACTTTGGCCTTCATTTTCAGAAAACAATACAGTTCCTCAGTTTAGAATGAAAGGCCCGTAATAATCAAGTTTATACTGAAAAATATTATCATAGCATACAGAGCAAGAGAGCCAATAATCCTAAATAGTTTGTAGAACTTGATGTGTAGGAGGAAATGAGGCTTTTACATGTTTTTGTTTTTTTTAATTAAGCTAGATCCCCAGCAGCAATTTTTGTTCCTTGATACTAGCAGAACTATAGAAAGAAAAGAATAAAATGGGTTGAAACAATATGTTTTTTTGCTATTTTGCTAGAGTTCTTTGAACAGGAAAGTTGCATTGATTCAGTACCTTAGTCTCCACTGTGAAAATCCTGGGGGCACGCAAGTCGGTAAGAAGTTGCCTTATAAATAGTTCAAAAGTGAAATAATAAACATTTTGGATAGCTTCAGCTTTTTACCTAAGAATTTGCGAAGTCACAAGTTCACCGAATGCAAGGAGAATTATCCTTGCAAACTGGAGACAAATATGAAAAAAGCAAGAGTATGAGGGTAAACAGAGGTCTCTCTCTCTCTCTCTATCCCAGAATATGTAGCTTTTTCTCCAGAACCCAGAAGCATATTTCATTTTGTTGTTGTTTACCGAAAGGCTCATCCCCCAAAGTTGATGGAGTTATTAAAAAAACAAAAACTAATTTGGATTCCATTCCAATGTAATTGAATTTAAATCAAATTAATTAAATATCATTCATACGATTACTCCCCACGTACTTAATATTCTTCCCCTTTCATTACATCAAAATGCAATTTGGTGGCAACTCCTAGGGGGCTAAAGACATAACCAGGGCCTTAAATGGTTGCCCTGCTCATACCACTTCAAATCTTCCTGACCTCTCCAGAACAAGATGAATTGGGCTAATGAATAGTTGGAACATCACTATTAGCAGAAAACAGCCTTGTTAATAGAACTGCGTTCATACCTTCTCATCTCTTGATAGAGAATCATAATTTTCCCACAGATTTTTTTAAAAAGAAAATTGTCTGTTTAAATAAATAGTTTTTATGGAAGTCCGATTGCTATTCTTGGTTATAGTAATGATGAAAATAAAAATTGTGCCCTTCTTATCCTCTATGCTGACTTTTCTGATAATGTAGAAATACACTCAGAGCTTCTTGAAAATAGAACCCATAATTTTCCCCCTAGTGACAAATGCATTTCAGTTGCCATCATTCACTCTGTTACCTGGAAGATATTTATAGTCTCTGAGAATGCTTGCTGTAAAATCTTTGTTTATCAAACATATATAAAATTAACGCTGTAGCTTTTGAGTCATCATTCTAAACTGTTATCTTCCAGTCCTTAAATTAATGGACAGGGAAATAACACAATGATCACAGACTTTCCCCCCCACAATGTGTAAAAAGAAAAGTTACTAAAATTGTTTATACTTACATTATGAAGGAGAAGTAATTTCTTTAGGCATCTTTTTTTCTTTTCTTTTCTGCCTTTTCTACTGTTTTATTGGTTCTTGTCTTTTTAATCGTAGTGCACAATAGATTTATTATAAAAATAATGTTTAGAAATGTATTAAAAGGGCTATAATGTAATGTTGTAGTATTTGTGAGTTGTAGTATTACTATTATTGATTATTTATGAAAAAATACTTTTGCATGTTTGTGTTGTTCACGGGCAAATATAATCTATTCCTTGATCTTAATCTCCTCAAATAAAGCCCTGATAGTTGATTTTGTCTCGTTTTTTTCCTTTGCTCCTTATCACAAAATTCTTCACAACTTAAATGATCTCTTTTGTAAATCCAGTATAACAGAATTATCCAGATCACTATTTTTTGGGTTTCATCAAGCAACAGCCGGTTTCATTTGTATATCTAGTGTAGCATCTTTTTCCATATCATTTGCATAGTGTTATATTTAGATCCACTTTCAAATCAAATCAGTCCTATCCAGTAAAGCATATCCCTTTTCCATATCATCTTCCAAACATAATCTGTCTATAATGTTTAACATTTTAAAATTAAGATCTTGGACGATTGTTTTGCTCCATTTTGTATTTTTAAGTTTAAATGATCTTCTCATTTAACTGTAATCTTTATTTATTTATTTTTTTTGTTTCCTCTGGTTTCTAACCTTCAAAATCCTGTATTAGCAATCTTGTTTCAAATCTATCTGGACACTTAGTCTACAGCAGTGGGGCTATTCAGCTGGTTTTATCTGGTTTGGGTGAACTGATAGCTGCGCCTGCGGGAAGCTCCGCCACCTGCCCAGACGTCATCACGTCCCGTTTTTGATGTTCCGCGCTTACACGTGCACTCCCATTTGTGAACCAGTAGCGAAGGTAAGTGAATACCATCCCTGGTCTACAGCCCTTCAGATATTAAAGACAGTCTCTTAAAGATGGTCTCTTTTCCATCTAAAATAAGCACAGTATCTCCCATGCAATTTTTTTTCTTTGAAGCTTGGTTGTCTCCTCTGGACACATTTCAATTTATTAATATTCTTTTAAAAATGCTGTGCTGAGACTTTTCTCTTATTTCAAACTATCTGGAATCTTCAACAAACCTGAACACTGGGCTCCATCGAACAAAATGAAATTCAATTGCACATTTAGTCAATAAAAACCAAATGCACAAATATAGAATAGGTCAGTGATGGCTAACCTTTTTGCCATCGCGTGCCAGGAGAGGGGGGGCAGGGAAGGGTCACGTGTGCACGTGCCCACGCACATGGGTGTGCAACCCCCTCCCCCTCCCCCCGCTCCTGGCACATGATGGCCTGGTAGGCCCGTTTTTCTTTCTTACCTGGTTCCAGATCCTCTCTGTGTATCTGGGAAGGGCGAAAACAGCCTTTCCCACTCCCTCCAGAACCTCTCTAGGAGTCTCTAGGAGTCTCTCTGGAGGCTGGGGACAGGAAAAAGCGTCACTTCCTGTCCCACCGGGAGTCAGGAAATGGGCCCTTTCAGCCTCCATAGGGCCTCCAAGGGAGTGGGAAAGGCTGGTTTCGCCCTTCCCAGATACACAGAGAGGATCTGGAACCAGGTAAGAAAGAAAAATGGGCCTTCCCCACCCCGCCCCCAGGCTCTCCAGAGGCAGGAAACAGCCTGTTTCCCTACTTCTGGTGGGCCCAGAAGGCCCGAAAATCAGCTGGCCAGCGCACGCATGGGCCCCAGAGCTGAGCTGACATGCCCACTAATATGGCTCCGCATGCCACCTGTGGCACACATGCCATAGGTTCACCATCACGGGAATAGGTGGTACCTGACACAATAGTAGTAACTGTGAGAAGGATCTTGGAATCCAGGTGGACAACCACTTAAATATGAACCAGAAATCCAAGGTTGCACCAACAGAGGGATAGAACCAAGATTATATGAAGTGTTAGTATCACTTTATAATGCCTTGGTAAGATAACACATGGAATACTGCATCCGGTTTTGGTCACCAAGAGATAAAAAAAGATATCGAGACTCTAGAAAGAATGCAGAGAAGATCAACAAAGATGATTAGGGGGCTGGAGGCTGAAACATATGAAGAATAGTTGCAGGAATTTGGTTATGTCTACCTTTATGAAAAGAAAGAATGAGGTGACTTGATAGCAGTCTTCCAATATCTAAGGGACAGAAAACAGAATAAGAAGCAAAGGATGGAAACTAATCAAGGAATGTTGTGACCCTGACTTCCGAGCCTGTCCTAACAGAGGAGGAAGACTCAGAAGGTGATGGGGAGGAACTGACAAGGCCACCCTCTCCAGGACCCTCCTTTCTGGCAATGCCTCAGGTTCCATCCGAAGGCCAGGAGGAACAGCCTGGGATGTGCCAGGAGGAAGGCATATTGGAGCACCAATTGATAGGGAGCAAGGATGATGAATCCTGGCTTGATCCCAGGCAGCGTCCGAGGGAGAAGTGTGTGCAGCAACAGAAGAGGTGTGGGAGGGCCAGAGATTGAGCTAAGTCACGGAACCACACCCCACCTGGAATAAAAGTGGGTGGGATTGTTCTTCAGGCTTTGTGACGGACAAAGTTAAACCCTGAAAGTCACATCGTGATCTCTGAAATTCGGCTTGGATATATTTTGGACTGAACATTGACTAAACTCTTGTCTCATGGATAATTTGTTGCTCCTGGAACAGAGTGAAAATAAGTCCTCTTCTGCTTTATGGGAGTGAAAACGGTGTTGGCAGGAATTCGGCAGTTTGCTGCCAAAACCTTGGTCTGCCAGGAATTCTAATCTGTTTACCTAGTAAAATATTGGCAGGCATGCTTGGTATTACGTTTGCCTGTGTGAGGAAGGGGGACAGAACAAGGAAAGAAGCAACCTAGAACTAGGAGAAATTTCCTGATAGAACAATTAATCAGTGGACAATCTTGTCTTCAGAAGTTGTGGGTGCTCCATCACTGGATTTTTTCTCCTGTAGGACTCAAGGCTGTGTACAGTCAAGAAAAATATAGACACACAAACATCATAAAATTGCTAATTAAAACTAGTTTGGCTAGAATACCTCCAAAGTCTCTTCCAACTCTGTTATTCTGTAAAATTTAAAGCAAAGATGCACAGCACTAACATATGTGCGCCTAGGGCATATAATCTATGTTAGACATTCTGCACAAAATAATTAAAACAATATTATTGTACTCTTACATTGATGTGTTTGCAAATATTTATGTTGATCTTTTTCTTATTGAGATTACCACCATTATTCTCACTTATGGTGGCTTGCTTTTTAGGAATTTTTGCATAGCATAAAAAAGCAGAGTGTCCAAGTAACAGCTACATTTAGCTGTAATCTTAGTAATATAGGTAATATAGGCAGAGCACCTGCCTACTTGTTCATTTTATGGAGCAAGCCCACTCTAGCAAGGGCTTTTATAGATTTATAGATCCATTAATGTATATTAATCAGAATTAAGGCTAAGACAGTCTCAAGACAGTCTCAATTTAAAAAGTTTAATCAAATACTATATTTTCCCGAAAATAAGACCTGGTCTTATTTGTGCCTTGCAGCATCTTGCCGCAAGTGGCAGCACCGTCGTGATGATCCATACGGTATTCTGCAGCAAGTGGTGACACCGGTGCAAATAGCCTTGCGGTGTTCTGCTGTGAGGTGCAGCACTGGTGTGATAAACCACATGGCATCCGGCCATGAGTCCCTGCAAGTGGCTGCCGAAGAAGTCAGGCAGCGGTGGAACAAGTGTTGGGGCATGGGAGGCCTGGATGAGACGGTCTTAAGGTAAGTGGGTGCAGGGTGCTTGCGGAAGCTCCACTCCCCCACCCCCATCCTAGCTTGATTTTTATGCCTGTGCCTAGTACAACTGATGGTGGGCGGGGTTTAATAAAGGCTTATTTTTGGGGTAGGGTTTATATTAGGCACAGGCATGAAAATCGGGCTAGGGCTTGTTTTCAGGGTAGGTTGTATTTTCAGGGAAACATGGTAGGTAGCATACCGAGGATGATGTATTGGTGGGGCAGTCTGGTGATGACAAGAAGGCCATCCAAAAAGGTGGCAGCTGATGGAGATAGTTCTCTGCTGTTGATGTACCAATTACTGTTTGGCAGTTGGTGATGTGACAGAGCAGCAACCAAGGAGAGGGATATTAAAACAAATGATTCCCTGCAAGTGTCAAATATGCTAGGTGTCAGGATTCCAAGTAATAGATCCATAGCATGCAAAACTCCAAGGCAGGTAGATTCTTCAAAGGATAGCTTTATTGGAAATATCATATTGGCACATATCTGGTGAAAACTGACTCTAAAGTTTCCCATGGTTTTCACCTAGTTAAAAGAGAATGTTTTCCCACAACCCCAAACAATCAGTGACATGGTCCAATCAAGATGCAGTCTGGTCATTTGGTGATCAACCTCCTTCTTCTACAGTCCAGGTGTGAGAATGTCCTTGGTTCTCAAAAGAAAGTATTTTATTTTGGCTACACAAACCCCTCTATCTTTAATTCCCCCTCCCTTTCCCTCAGAGTGGCAACACTGAAGCTCCAATATAGCTCCGGTCAGGTTAGCTTCAGGGTTGACACGGTGCACCACTGATCAAATGCAACACATAGCATCTTGGAGAGGGAGACCTTTGTTAGGACTACTCAAATGAAGCAGCTTGGCTGCTGTAATCTACAGTTGATAGATAATCAGAACTATAAAATAAAAGCAGCACAGAGATTATGGCTAGCAGCAGCATCAGGACTGTGACCCACTGTATTTTTTGAAGTATAAGATGCTCCCTTTTCCCTCAAAAAGAGGGTGAAAATCTGGGTGCGTCTTATACTTTGAATGTAGCCCCGCCCAGCTACTCAAACGGAGGTTTCAGAGGCTGAAAAAAGCATCAGAAACGAAGCTTCAGGAAAAAAGCCCCCAAATAGAGTTTTTTTTCTGAAGCTCTGTTTCGGAGGCTTTCAGAGGCAGGAAAAAGTCTTTTCTGAAACAGAGTTTCAGAAGTTTCAGAGACAAGAAAAAAAAAGCAAAAAAAAAAAAAAAAAAAAAAGCAAGGCACAGAACTCACAACCAAGGAACCTGTTGCTAAAATTCACCTCTGGGAACAGCTGATTGGGGGTATTCCAGGAGGCCGATCCACCTGCCAATCAGCTTTTTTCTTATTTCCTCCCCAAAAACTAAGGTGCTTCTCATAAGTATGTCTTATACTCCAAAAAATACGGTAATTGCTACAAAGTTAAACATAGTGTTCTCCAGTTAAACTCTTCAAATGAAGGTTGGTTTTCTAAATTCAATTTAGGGATACTCCTATAAGAAGAGAGAGATGAGAAATCCTGAAGTTGCCCACTATTGTTAACATCTTTTCCTGGAGATATGAAATTGGAGGCACAACTCTGCAGTTTCAGATCAAACATCAATCTGCAGTATTTAATTAAGGGAGGCAAATTCCATCAAGGCATCTGCCTTGCCTATGAATGATGGGAGAATATTGATGAAAAGTGAAATCTAGAAATACTTGTGCCCTCGTTGTATTTGCATCCTTAATTAAACTAAATAAAATCAGATTTTGCAACCCCAAGAAATGAACTAATCTGCCAATTTTGCTTTCTCCAATATTTGCTTTTTCTTTTTCAATCTCAAGTTCTTATCACATTCATAAAGGAGAATATGGATCTTGGTAAACTGGTGTGAAAACTCTAGCCAAAATCAACAGGTACAGCTGCTCCCATTTAATAACTACTTCCATATTGAGTTAATAAAAATAGAAAATGAACTTCACTCAGCACTACAAATTTAAAGCAAATGCACAAGGGCTTCAAAGTCAGCCTTTTAAGTACAGAAAGATCTTTTTTCTGAATGGTTGACTCTGCCAAAAGGATGACAAAACATGCACTGCTTCAAAATCCCTTTAATGAGATGTTTTCTTAAAGCAATAGCTTCTTTTTCTCAAATGCACACGGAAGTCAGGAAAAAAGGAGGGGACAGATACATTGTGAGATCTTAAGCACTTTATTTGAATCTGGTTGAAATGTACATTGCTTAGTGGATAAAGCTGCTGAACATTACAGGGAGGGAGGGACAGAGGGAGGGAGGGAGAGAGAGAGAGAGAGGGAGAGAGAGAAAGAGAGAGAGAGAGAGAGAGAGAGAATAAGATAACATGCATTATCAATAGATACTCTGAGTTATTGATATGAAAATGCGAAGTACAGATAATAGTTTCTTCTATTTCAGTGTTATTGCATACTTGCATCATCCACAATTTCTTTTGTCACTGACTTTTTATATTTACCAGGCTGGACAACCTTTTAAAGTACCCCAGACATCAAAAGATCATTTGATCTTTCTGCAATCACACCTAATTTCAAATTTCTGCAATCACACCTAAAAACTAGTGAGAACTCATTTTCGAATGTCAGAATCCTATAAAACATCACCAACTTTTTAAAAATTGAACCTTATTTTTTAATGGCCTATGAACATCAGGTTGCCAGCCCTGATTTAACTTATGAAAATACCTGTTTTTGTCTCAATCTTTCAGCCTAACAATTTTATATAAGAAAGTAAGAGTAGCTTGTAGCTTATGTATTTTCGCATTAGTCTGTAAAATTTGATCATTTTTATCACATGCTGACTGAAATGTTTTTGGTGAGATGTCTTTTCCAATCTCATTACTGCTTTTCTACAGTACCTGCAATATAATTTATTTTTAAAATGCATCAAAAACATGTCCATTAAGTACTGTGTAATTTAGTACTAGATAATGGATATAGAATTTAAAGGTTTTTCTCCTTTGCTTTTGAGGAGCTAGGCAAGTGATGCTACCATCAGAAGGAATGAATTGACAAATGAAGTGAGAATGAGTAGGATAGAACAGATGAAATGTGTAGTAATGTGTAATTCCCCTATAATTTTAATCAATCCTTTAAAAAAGGGGGCTTTTAGTAAGTCATTAAAATTCCTGTTTTGTGGCCATTTATATTGTTATTGTTTACATCAGTTCACAATAATTGCTTTTGGAGTGCTCCCTGATATGGTATGAGTGCACATATTTGTATACACGCACAAATAGAAACAACAATTAATATGCATGTCAAGCCTGTGGACTATTTAAAAAAAGAAAGGAAATAAATATGTTACATTTTGTTATACTTAGGCATCCTATAAGCTTTTTCTCTATGCATGTCTGTCTCAGTGTCTGTAGAGAGCTGCTGAAATGGAGAGCTGCAGGACCCATAAACCTAATAAACAGATTAAGTCGGCACAGCAGATAAATTAAGGTCTCCAATACTTTCACCTCTGACTTATGTTTGGTGATGTGTTTCAGGCAATCTGATTCCTGCCAGGTTAAGTTCATCTTTGTATCTGTATGTGGAACTAGATGAAGACTTTGAATTGAAGAAAGCAGAGCCATTCAGTACAGGTAGTCCTTGATTTACAACCATTCCTTTAGAGGTCTTCGAAGTTACAACGGTGTTGAAAATGGTGACATGTGACCAGTCCTCGCACTTATGATCGTCGTAGTATCCCCATGGTCATGTGATCAAAATCTGGGCATTTGACAACAGCTTGTGTTTACCACTTTTGCAGCATTCAGAGATCACATGTGTGACCTTTCCAGCCAGCTTCAGAGATGCAGAGATTGGAGGAGGGAGTGGGGGGAATCTGGGTATGCTTAATGACCATGTGATTCACTTAACAATTGCAATGCTTCACTTAACAACTGTGGCAAAAAGATAATAAAATTGAGCATGACTCATTTAACAACCGCCTAACTTAGCAATGGAAATTCTGGTCCCAATGGTGATTGCAAGTCAAACACTGCCTGTAATGCTGAGGGAAGGAGAAGTATGGGGAACAGAGCTTCCAGGGAATAATCTATAACGCAGAAAAGGGGTTAGACAGACACAGGTCAATCTATACTATCCACAATACCATAACCAAGCATCCTGCTTACTCTCTGCAAAGGAAAAGAGGCAGAGGTTTTCCCCAATCGCCTTCTATTTGACAGAAGTGAACATTGGGCTTTGAAGAAACCCATTTGGGCTCTTGAAATACCAAGAGTATTTATGCTTCTGAACTTGGGTGCTGGAGAAGACTCCTGAAAATATCACGGAAAGCCAAGAAAGAAAGAAATCTTTAATGATCAAATAAATCCAGAGTTCTCACTCAAGTCATAAATGACCAGGTTCAAATTATCCTACTTTAGATACATTATGCAAAGATCTCTCTTTCTCTCTCTCTCTCTCTGTATGTATGTATGTATGTATGTATGTATGTATGTGTGTATGTATGTATGTATGTATGTATGTATGTATGTATGTATATATTGTCAAGGTTCTGACTAACAAACCCAAGCAAATCAGAAATTGAATCTTCCTCAAGAACTTCTTTATTGGGTACATCATATCGGCACGATCAATTGTAAAACCAGCTCTAAATATTTCCTGTGGTTTCAGTATAATTAAAATAGTAAATGATCCCCTCCCCAAGTGTCACCAGTCACATTGTCCAATTAGGTTAATTGGCGGGCTCCTTAGGCACTCCTCTCCTTCATCTGACACCTATGGAGAAGACCTTGGTTCCCACAAGATAGATCGGTGTTGTGTCTGGCAATGCATTCCAGCCTCTCTCTCTCCCCCCCCAATACTGTGTGGCAACTGAGAAACAAAAAGATGGCTTCTGCCAGGTTAGGTTTGAAGTTGATATATATATTGCTTACAATGCTGACTGCAGTCCAAAAGTTATACATATTTATATATACATGCAGAAAAATACTTTGAACAGACATTTCTTACTGAACATTTCCTCTCAACCTGGAAATCCATTTGCTATATTGAAAGGGAAAAGGAGCATCATGTACATGTTCATACTGATAACATGATGTACACACAAGTGCAGTGTAAAATCCTTTCCTTAATTCCCTTAGATCTCTGTCTTAAACCAACATTCTTTACATCAGGGGTGTCAAACTCAAGGCCCGGAGGCTGGATTTGGCCCATGGGGTGCTTAGATCTGGTCTACAGGCCACCCTTGACACAGCGAAGGACCAGCCCACAGTGCCTCTGCTGGCCCTCCTGAGCTCTTTTTTCACCGGCAGAGGGTTGCAGGAGGCCATCACAGCTGAAAATATAGCTCGGGAGCCCATTTTCACTGGCAAAGCGCTCAGGCCACCATAGGTGCCCCTGACATGAGTGACATTGAGCTGACCATGCCTACCCTGACCACACCCATCTGGCCCCCCAAGGTGAAACACAACTCTGATGCAGCCCTCAATGAAATCGAGTTTGACTCCCTTGCTTTACATGATACAGTGTACCTTAGCAAATGAAATATTTCTATATATACATATACATATATTAATGTATACTGAATGTATAGAAAAGATAATAAATGGAAAAATGTATATTTTAGATTTTTAGAGTGTAGTAGATATGTAAATATTGTATATATTATATAAATAGGTAACTATGAAATAAGAATGTATATGTATAAAATAATAGGCCTGTGGATAAATTGAAATTAAGAAAAAAATCTGATGACGGAAAGCTGTAATAGTGTAATTGTGATTTTAAAGTTTAAAAAAGTTGAATAAAAATTATTTTTTTTAAAAAAGAAAAAGAAATATTTCTATATCAGTAACAACAAGCTAACATTCCTAAAGTCTATTACTTTAACACAACATTGTTAAAGATACCAAATATTTCCTTGCTTTATTTAATTATTGAGTTGTTTCTGAATTTAAGAAATCTGTTTTAAGCATAATCCATTTTCTGGTGAAAAGAATATATATTTGCCAGAGACAGCACAGTTCCCATTTCTCCCTACCATTAAATATAACTTTACAATACAGTTCATCATTAATTCTAATGGGGAGTTTAAATAGTTATATGTTATTACAATGATTGACATGACAATATTAAACTATAAAGAAACATATTCTTAACTGGGAAACATTTGAAAAATCAACGTCAGCTTTCATCTCATAATTAATCTTTAACTGCTAACTGTAGAAATATGGTGTACTAGATAATTTTAGAATATAGTTATATCTGATTTTTTCCCCTTATAGTAATGTAAGATTCCACCCTTTCTTTTGCTGATTCCAATCAAATTCTCTCTAACCGCATTATTATTTTTAGATAAGCTAAATGATTCTCTGCTTTAATCTTGAAAGTATCAAATCATTTTAATTGAGCCTGGAATTAAAATTAATATTAGAAATCCAAAGTAAAGGTTGATTGTAGTTCACATGTAACATCAACTGAAATTTTGTGATTTTGTAGTCATTCCTGTTGGGTAAAACTCTACTGAAGAGCACTATAGCTGAGTGGATATGTTGGATTGGAAGGCTGATCTCTTTCTCATAATATATTAAAAACAATAATTTGGAACAATTTCCCATTTGTCATATTGATACTTAGTATCAGTAGTGGGATTCAGATAATTTAACAACCGGTTCTCTGCCCTAATGATTTCTTCTAACAACCAGTTCACCAAACTGCTCAGAAAGTTAACAACCGGTTTTCCCGAAGTGGTGCGAACTGGCTGATTCCCACCACTGCTTAAATACATATAATTAAGTTGCATCAGAACTGGAACAATTTCCTATGTCACTCCAGCTACCCATGTTTCTTAAGATTACAAATGCAGGATGGCTGTTAGATGTTACCAAGGAGATATAATGATCATCTAGAGTTTTGAAGGCCAGATGGGATATGTCCAATGCCTTTATGTTTGGTGCTCTGTTACTGAAATAAATCTTATTCTGCCTTTAGTACTAACTATGGATAGTGCTGATTATGCTACCTCATTAATGCATAGCTTCCATCGACTGACAAAGGCCAATAGGTTGGGAAGTTTTCATTCTTGACCAAGTCAATTCCAATATGAATAATAAATCAAGTGCCTTGGTAGTACAGTGGTCTAGGGCACCCTGTTATTAAGCTGGTTATTAAGACCAGCTGCCTGCAATTACTGCAGGTTCGAATTTCGCCAAGGCTCAATGTTGACTCAGCCTTCCATCCTTTCTAAGGTAGGTAAATTGAGGACCCAGTTGTGGGGGCAATAAGCTGACTTTGTATAAGTATACAAAAGGATGAAGGCTATTGCTGAGCACATTGTAAGCCGCCCTGAGTCTCCGGAGAAGGGCAGCATATAAATCAAATTTAAAAAAAAAATCATACTTGGATAATTCAGCCATTTCATATAATTACACACTGGAAACAGGGCCCAAATTCAAGGGACATATTATATATATGGTATATATATATACCATATGCCATATATATATATATACCATATACTATATATATATACCATATATATATGATATATGGTCAAATGCTGCAAACACCTGCAATTGATTATGTCTACATCTGAAGTTGTGTTGCTGATCCCTAGGTAGAATGATAAAGTTGAAAGAGACCTTGGAGTCTTTTAGTCCAAACCCCTGTCAAGTGTGGGAATCTTTAGACCATTTCAGACAAATGGGTGTCCATTCTTTTTTTGAAAACATGGATGGAGAACCATGGCTTCAAATGGGAAGCTATTACACTGTTTAATAATTATCTCCATAAATAACTTCCTGCTTATTTGAAGTTTGGATTTCTCTCTTTAAGTCTTCCATCCTTGGCTTTTGTGTTTCCTGGTTAGAATGCAGTATTGCAGGCTAATTCCACCAGCTGTGAGCAGTTCGATTCTTATCACCTCAAGGTTGAGTCAGCCTTCTGAGGTCAGTAAAATGAAGACCCAGATTATTGAGGGTAATATGTCGACTCTGTAAACCGCTTAGAAAGGGCTGTAAAGCATTGTGAAGTGGTATATAAGTCTAAGGACTATTGCTATTGCTACTCTGGAAAATAAATCTACAATCTTTTCCATGTGATATTTCTTTATGTATTGGAAAACTGCTGCCATGTTTGTCCTTAGCCTTCTCTTTGTCAGACTAATCATGCTCTTCATAGGATTTAGGTGAGTTATTTAAAATCATCATTTAAAATACAACTAAACCATGTGGCAATGTTAGATGTAATATTGAGGATCAATAGATAATAATGATAATATACATATACATGTATATTACATGTACATGTATACTATCACACACACATGCACAATACTATGAAATTGCCACAAAACATATTATTCTATCTATTCCTTGTTAACATCAGCCACTCTTTTCCTACAAAATATTAAAGAAGGATCTTTTTACAAGTGATGTCTGATATTTACCACCCATTTCTGTTTTAATGGATAGCCCCTGGATTTAATCAACATGCATAATAGCTTCTTCCCATGGTTGCTTTCCTAGAACATGTAGGTCTCGGTGAGAAGACATTGCCTGTAATTTGTGCGTCAGTGCTTAATTTAGAAATTGCAGGATGGATATCAAAGAATGAGAACACCAAGGGAGACATCAGGATGGCCACAACAAACTTTGAAAGTTTATTAAGAAATTGTTCCCAGTAGCACTGGGGTTTTTGTTTAATCTTCCGGGTGAGCCCAAATTGCAAGGACAATCTCCGGTCTTGAGTCACACAGGAGTTACTTTCA